ATTCTATATATACTGATGATTTCCTTTCCATTTCAAGTTGTGTTGGTTTTTTTTCCTAGTCTTGGCTTTTCTACATGGTTTCTCTGTAGCTGGTATCTCACTATCTTGAGAGATCTTATGTAGAGGGCATTCTGTAAGTAACAACAATTAATCTAGTGCTTTTGGTGTTGTAAAAGAGACTTAAATTCTGTGTCAGAAAGGTAGTAACTGCAGTTTTATTTTTGTTAAATGGAGACTGTTAACTCCGCAGTATGTTTACTCTGAGAGGTCTGCAGTGCCTAAAGGTCCTTCTTCTGATGTGTTGCTGTAGTTCCACCAGACATCATGGGGGAGGAGCAGAATGTCTCTGTGCTCATGGGCCGAGCAGTGGAGCTGCTCTGCCAGGGCAACGCTGTCCCCCCACCCGTGCTGATGTGGCTCAAGGACGGGCGGCCCTTGCTGAAGAAGCCAGGTCTCAGCATCTCTGAAGATGGAAGCCTACTGAAGGTAAACTGGGTGGTCATGCTTCAGTGGCCACTGCTGTCTGGGGAGTATTCCCACCCTGAAGGCTCCAGATAGCCCTTAGAGAATGGGCAGCGTTAGGTCTTCTGCTGCAGTGGAGAGGAGCGAGGGAGATCGTATGCACCGAGGTGTTTGTGACTGATCCTGCAGGAATGATGCTGTATTACTGCTATTTAGAGAGACAGATGTAAAAATAAAAATTGAAACATGAACAACCTCTCCCTGCAAGCTTCACGTGTAACAATGTAAGAAGAAGAAATCCAGTTTCTTGTTTTCTTCCTAGATTGAAGGCGCTCAAGTACAGGACACTGGTCGTTACACTTGTGAAGCTACAAATGTTGCTGGGAAAACGGAAAAGAACTATAATGTCAATATTTGGGGTAAGATTTATTAAGCTTTTTCCAGGAATGGGAGCAGAGGTCAGAGAGAAATTACACTGTGAGACACTAAAATGCTCCTATAGTTCCTAAATGCTCAATTGCTGAGGTTCATGCAGGGAAATGTTATTACATTTGTTGTAGTTTAACTGTCCCAAGAAAGTGCGACACAATTTTCAAATTTCTTTGGTTTGGTTCTAAATTAATAGCAGCTACTTCATAGGTCTTTGTCAGGCTAGGTTTGCCTAACAGTAGTTTAGAGCTGAACTAACTGGTTTTGTATCCATAGCTCATATTTGTGCACTCTAATGCCATTTAAAGTAACCTACCAGTTTTCTACTTTTTTAAATGCTGAAATGTGGAAATTCAGATCAATAAAAGTTGATGTACCTTGCTTTGTTTGATCTGCAAAGTTATCAGCACTGAATCATAAAAATTGCTGTAGAAAATTTTTTCTAAGCCTGTTATTCCCAAGTGCATCATTCCCTACACAGGGTCTGGTTGGCATTGCCAGCAAGAGAATACAAGCCTTGCAATTGCTGTAGAGCATAATGGGACTAATTTGTGGCTTTTCTTCTCAGTGTCACCAAGTATTTATGGCTCAGATGACACCTCTCAACTGACAGTGATTGAAGGGAGCTTGATAAGCCTGATATGTGAGTCCAGTGGCATCCCACCACCCAGTCTCACCTGGAAAAAGAATGGTGAGTAACTGGCTGTTGTCTGGTTTATAAAGCAAATGTGATAATTTTGACCTGCTGGGTTTTCTTTTTCCCATGAACATGTTTGTGTGTTGTGAGGAGTTGAGTCATGCAGATGTCTAAATAATTCTGCTACTGAGGAAAATGAGCTACAGTAGTTGATTATTCCCTTCTTTTATTCACCTCTGCCTGGATCAGGTATCATTGTTCCAAAAGGCATGCAGGAGAAGCACAGTGCAGAGATCCCTGAGCTGACTTTACAAAATGAACAGTTAATGAATCACTTAGCCCCTCTCGAAGTGCCTTCTTGCCACAGTGCAGCCAGGCAGCATCAAGCCTTGTTGGTGGGTCCCAGACAAGAAGGCTGTGAGTCACTGAAATCCAGTGGTGCTGGATCAAGGGACTTTGCCCTGTTCTGCTGTGTAACCTAAACATATTCTCTGGGGTGTCCTTTGGTTTGCAGCCCTGGCACACTGCCAAGCCATCAAAATGCATCTAGTTGTAGTAATTGCTTTTGGGATATACTGAGCCTTTCTCTCATCCCATCTTAATATTTGAAAGAAGTCTGCACACCTTTTTGCTTTAGGGGTTAAAATAACATTGACAAACACCTGATGAACTGGGAGACAAAAGCAGGTATTTTAAATACCTTCTTTTAAGCATAAGCACCTTTGGAGCCAACATTAGGCAAAGTAAGTTACTGAACTCTTCCAGTATAGTAATTCTTGTGTTATTAATCAATCTTACCCATTCATCATGTTTTTCTAGAAGGCACAATACAGTGTGATATGTGCCCACCTTAATTAATTTTGTCTTCTGGAAAGATAAAATTTTAATGATGAAACACTTACTTTACTACATAAAATTTTCAGAGAAGATGAAGTTTATCAAGTTATTTTTAAACCCTGTCTCTTGGAAGCCAAAAAGGCATCGTATGACATGTTCTAATGACGTACTGCAAGGCCAAGGTATATGCAGTGAGATGACAGAGAGGAAACCTGAACCTTTTGGAGACTTCAGAAAGGCAGTTAGATAAGTAGTGCAGTTTAGAATATTAATTGAGACACAGATTTTTTTTTTGTTCTCTTGGATATTTGGTGCACTTGTTAATAGGATTTTAAAAGCTCAAGTGGGACATAAACATTCACTTTGTAAGAATGATCAGGGGCAGGTGAATTCTTTCTGTCACAAAGTCTCCCCCCAGTTTGGAAGGATGAAGGTAAGTTGCCTAATCTGAGGGCTCCGAGATTGAAAATTTTGCTGGTGTAATATTGAGGATGTGATGTTCTTTTGTGGCCATGTTTCTGCTGAGGACACCATGGGCAGAAGTGTGTGCCTGCCTGGCGCCGGTGGCGCGACACGGCGCTGGGCAGGACGGTTACATGCTGCACAGGCAGATCTTACTCAAAGGGTTGTTCTGCTCAGTGAAAGCACCCAGAACTTTCTGGATGGATGTGTGATGAGAGCTGTTGTGCTTTAGCTCAGGTTGCTGTATATCATGAACTCAACGATTAGTGCGGGAAGTCCTCAGCACCTGTTTGCCTGAGGTGTCTGATGTCGGGGAAGACTCTCACAGAGCAGTTCTAAACTGGACAGCTGTGCAGCTCAATCATTTTAAAATGAGCCTGTGGACTTTGCACTGCATGAGCAAACTCATTACCATTGTCTGTGGTTTTATCTGAAAGAATGTCTCTTGCAGGCTCTCCACTGGTGGCTGACCTTTCAGGAAGGGTGCGGATCTTGTCCGGAGGCAGACAGCTACAGATTTCAATTGCTGAAAAGTCTGATGCTGCATCTTACTCTTGTGTTGCCTCAAATGTAGCTGGAAGTGCAAAGAAGGAATACAGCTTGCAAGTATACAGTAAGCTACTGTGAAACTTCTGTTCACAGCTCAGCAGTTCTGCAGTAGGGTTGCATTGTGGCAGTGTTATCAGTCCGGGGATGTTAAGCTGCAGGGTTTTCAAAGAGTAAAGGACAATTTAAGGGTACTCCAAGGAGAATGTTAAATAAGTAAAATTTTGACAATTTGGCATCAAAGCTTGAGCAAGGTGTTGCATATACCTGTTGCAAGTGCACCTGACCACAGATTACAGGAATGTAACCTCTTTATGTAGTGTAATGTCTTGTCATCAAACTGTAATAGTAAAGACAACTATTTTCCATTTTCTTGAAAATTCTGTATTTCAGTCAGGAATAAAAGGAGTTATTTTAAACAGTCCCATGAATGAGAAAATGTTCAAGGATCTGTAGGAATTGACTGAATTACAGGCAGTAATTTTATTTAAATTTTTCTCATGTTTGCATTTTTAAAATCGCCTTGAAGTTTGTTTTTCTAAAAACCTTTTGGAGTGTCCTTGTGACTTTTCCCAGCCCTGTGGAAAATTCTGTAAATTGCAGAGAGCCCCCGACTGATTTGCCAACCCTCAAAAACCCAACTTTATTACACGCTGATCTGGCAAGCTTGATTATTATTCCGTTCCGAAAGGGGTGAAGATCCCGAGAAGGAGCTTCCAAGTTGACGTCTAAACTGCGCTTCTTTTCCAGTTCGACCGACTATACTGAACAGCGGCAGCCACCCGTCAGAAGTGGTGGTCACCCAGGGAAGTGAGATCTCCCTGGAGTGCCAGGCCCAGGGCACTCCCCAGCCAGCAGTGTCCTGGCTGAGGGACGGGCGCGCGCTGCCGGGGAGCGGGGACATCGCCCTGCGCCACCAGGGCCGCGTCCTGCACCTGCGGAACGCCCGGGTGTCCGACACCGGCCGCTACGTCTGCGTGGCTGCCAACGTGGCAGGGCTGGCTGACATGAAATACGATTTAAGTGTTCATGGTGAGTATGTGCAAAAGGGGGGGCAGGCGTAACAGGAACAAATTAGACCTCTAAGTGCATCGAAGGGCACCCAGGAGGTAGTTGTGTGGCTAAATGCGCCCCTGTATCTATTGCAGCCTTTAGACATGGTGCAGTTCCAGTTGCAGTGTTAGAAAAATCAAGATCCCATTTTAAACTCTTGAACACTTTAAAATCTTACCTCTGTCCCTGTTAATAACAATCCACCCCCACCAGCTCCATCTCCTGAGAGGAGAAAACCAAGATATGGTATAATTTTATAGGATGTTGGGGTGGGAGTCATGGTGAGAAATATTCTGTTGTGGGAGATGGAAATCAAGGTTTAACTGAGAGCACCCTGATAGTGGCTGCTACCAGGGGACAGTTACCCAGGGACTGCCAATATCTGAAGTACATAATTATCAGGTTCTCCAATTTGGCACCATCAGAAGAATTTAAAGATGGTACCTGCAACTCTTAATTTGTCCCTGTAATCAGACTTAACAGAATGGATTGGAACATCCTATTGTTTTACAGGCACTGGAATTTTGACATATGACTTTTTCACTTAATTGAGCACTGAATATTCATGTTCATACTGTGAAATTAAACACAGGAATTCTCATTATCAAAAATGAGAGGCCTACTTTATTTAGCAGTTTTATTTATTTATGTTTGTTTGTTTGTTTTATTTGGAATGTTTGCTGTGTTATCAAACTTTAGGGTGAAAAGGAACTTTAACCCTCCTCAAGGTATTTTCAGTGCTGGAGGATGTTGGCCAAGTCTTGACCCCAGGCTTTATGTTCTAAACTATGAGTTGTAGAACAGCTTCCAAAGTGGGAATCTTCATATTTCTAACGAAGAAAACCTAAAAATAAATTTGTGATATTTATTTTAATAGGGAGTTGTTCTTGCCATTAGAAAAAAAACATGTAACTCTGTCAATGTTAGGATTTTTCATAGTGTTTCTGTTGGGAATTATAATTAGCATAGAGTGGACAGAAATACTATAAACTGTTACTTACTAGGGATCTTTAGCCATCAAATAAAGGTACTAGAACTGGTAGAATTAATGCTAATATGCCATGCAGTTACACAGTGAGAAGTTGTCATTAATAGTATTTAATGTCTCCGTTTTGTAGCTCTTCACTTGCCAAGCTTGTCTTAGCTTCAGTGTATTACTGTTTGGATGTTTTGAGAGCAAAATTAGTTTTTATTTATTCTGAAGTATGCTTTTTTAATTAATCCTGTTCTGTAGTTCCCCCAAGTATTGCTGGTGACCTGCAGATGCCTGAAAACATCAGCATTGTGGAGAAGAATCCTGTCTCCCTGATCTGTGAAGCTTCAGGAATTCCCCTGCCATCAATAACGTGGCTCAGGAATGGATGGCCCGTCACTTCCAACAGCTCACTGCGAATCCTCTCAGGTACAAAAGTAATAAATAGGTCGTTAAAGAAAAGAAAAAGGAAGGACCCTCTGCATCTTTAGTGCAGGTATTTCACGGGGAAGGATTGGTTTAATAGTCTGTAAGGACAAGGAGAGAAGAGAAGCTGTTACTCACTGTGAAGCTTTTTGGCAGTTGGGGTCAGGTTGGCTGGAGCTCCTGGTGAAGAGCTCATGCAAACGTTTAAAGCTGTTCCCAAACTTAATGTGTGTGGGCCAGAGGTGTGGTCTGTGCCATGGAATAGCCATTATTGTGGCTGCTGGTGTGAGTTAGTCCAGTGCTTATTTCCAGAAATATGTCAAATGGTAACATCTTGCTTTATCAGCGCCAACACATGTACTGCGGTAGCTCTTTTATTTGGCTAGTTTCTCTACCTCTTGCTCTTCAGTTGTTTTATTCTTAAAGTAAAAAAAAATAATAAATCTTGAAGAGAATACACATAACAATAAACAAAGCACATCTTTCATTTTTTTTGAATCTGTATACAAAACCAAAGGGAAACCTATTCATGAGAGTCAGAAATTAATGCATGTCAGTACTTCCTGGCCTTGGAGTTAACTGCATCAGATCTCCAGAATGTCATCAAATGCACATAGCAGGAGCTGGAAGGTTCATGGCCTGTTGGGACACCATGGCACTGTGGCCCGAAGGAGACAGCTGGGGTGTTGCTGTTACTGACACTGGTGTGTTTGTGTGTTGGGTTTTGGAGGCAAAGTGTTGGCAGGGGGGGCTGCAGGGGCAGCCTATGTGAGGAGGGGCTGGGGCTGCCCCTGTCAGGCACAGCTGTTTGCTGAAGGTTCCTAGGACCCCCCTGCAGGGCACAGCTCTGTTCACCTCTGTGAAACAGCATTTAGGAAAGGTCAAAATGCAGTGTGGCAGCAAGGAGAAAAGTGTGAGAAACAGCCCTGCAAGCAGGTTGGAGACAGAGGAGGACTTTCAAGTGCTAAAGCAGGTATTTTTCCTCAGTCCATGGGGAGATCCTGTTGGAGCAGGTATCCACACTGCAGCCCTGTGGTGGGTGGGCCTTTTCTGGCTGCCATATGCCCACCCAGCTGCCCTCTCATTCCTTCCCCTCAACAGGACAAGGGGAGAAAATAAGATAGAGTTTGTAGGTTGCAATAAAGACAGGGAGATTGCTCACCAGTTCAGTTACAGGCAAAATAGACTCACCTTGGTCAATGTTAATGTTCATATTCACCAGACAGGTAAAGGATCTAGAAGGTGTTTAGAAGCCCTGCTAAGACTAGATTTGAAGCTGGTATCTTTCAGAATTTTTATCATTCATATAGTTTTGAACATGAGTAGTTGTTTTTAACAGGTAGTCCTGCCTTCTGCTTTCCCATTTTTACATATGGTGCATGGAAAAAGGAGTGGGTGTCTGATGATGATTCTATATTAATCTGACTGTCTGAGTTGGTTTGTGTTCCTTCTTGTGCAAAGTTGCTATCAACAAAAAATAATTTCTCCATAGCTTGATTGTTTCTCTTCTGTCTGTTGATTTCTACACCCACGCTAATATCACCACCCGGACTGCAGAGTCAGGAAGGGTGAGAGACAAAAAGATGTTTATTGTCTCTGAATGTTAGCTGCAGTGGGAGTGGGGAAAAGAGGCCAGAACTCAGTGCTTTGTTTTCCAGCAAACTTTGTGCTTTTGTGCAATTCTTTAAAAAACGACACGTTGTGGTAGTGAACTGTAACCAACATGGCATTTGGAACTTCATTTGTGCTTGTACAGCTGTAAAAAAACCAACATCAACAAATCCCCCTTTTTGACTAATTTAAGAGGTAAAATACTTTGCCAAAGCAAGATTTAGTTCTGTTGACTGAAAACATACTTGGCATTGCAGATGATTTAAATGTGTGGACACACTGCTGGCAACTTCGAGTCTGTTAATTCAGATACTATGCCCTTGTTTCTTTTTAATGATCTTTCCTACATCCTTTAGAAAAAAATTCCACATCTGCTTTCCTTGCAGGCCATGCACTAATGCATGCTAGCTGTAGGAAGGATCAAAGCTTTTATTAAATTTTAGCTAAATGTAGAAGATCATATCATGCTTCAGCACTGGAGCCCTGGGTGTGCAAATATGTGACACTACAGGGAGATGTTCTTCTGCAGGCAGAAAGCTGCTTCATTTTGCTTCTGCATGGCTTTGTCCAGGATATGGATGTCAGGAAAGGATCAGGGTGACATGATTCTGCAAAGACTGAACCTTCCTCAGTCTCACAGACATCCCTCCAGCAGGGAATATTCCTTGGGCACAGGCACAAGCATCAGGCTAGGTCAGCTGTTTTTCCTTCAAAGCACATGCCCAGAAACATACAGGCAGGACACACATGGTTCAGATGTGATGTACTGTGAGATTGTGATTTTTAATGGGAGAGCTGCTAATGAGAAACTGGAAAAGCTGAAGCATGGCCACCACATTTGGTTTCACACTTGCATGCTCACTGCTGTTTGTTTTGCTGTTCCTCTGCCCAAAAGGAAGCAAAGAGAAATCATTCTGCTAGGGAAAAGCAGTGAGACTCCTGGTCTTTTGGTCAAATGTATTTGCAAACCTTTTAGACCAGCATGCTGATGCAAATGTGTTCTGGCAACTGCTGTGCTGTAGTGTTAGGAGAAATGTGTTAGTTTAAAACATTATGTGCAAGCCAGTACTGTTGTCACCTGTTGTTATTGATGGCACAGTTAATACCAATACTAGAATTGAGGAGAGGAATTTTTTTCCTTATCTGTGTGCATGTGAAAATACCCTTATGGCATGTTTGCATTTATAAAAATAAACTTACTTTTACATGTACACACCTCACCCCCCCACATCTGATGAGGCTGTATTATTTTTCCTGGGTAGTCATCACAATTCTCAGTATAACAGAGTGCTCATGTGAACAAGACTTGTGCTGCCTGAGACTCTGTGTTCTGTCAAAATTCTCTGCATAGAAGTACCTGCACAAAACTTTGCATATTGCAAGCCCAGAGTTCCTGCCACATCCCAAGTGTCTGCACTGCTCAAGGAATTACATGTGCCCTGTACCCCTGCCTGTAGTCTGAGTGGCCTGTGGGGAGCAGGGTTAATTTTCTCTGCACAAACTTGTCACATGTGTCTTGAAGTTTTCAGTGATTGTTCTGGTTGGTCTCTGATTTCCTCTGGAAATTCTCAGAAAATGTCTGAATGCCTCAAAATTCATTTAAATATGATTTCTGATGGGGAAAAAAAGGGCCTGAGCACACATGCAGAAGTGATGGGAGTATGAGTAAGGTCAGTGGCTTTCACTACTCCTTGTTCACCAAAACCAAAGCGCATGAAAAAAAAATGTACAGCTGTAAATTTCACCAGCACATAAAAGAAGTGTAGGAGTTAGCACAGACAGTTTGGGAGCACGTTGGTTGGAGCAGGACTTGAATGACTGCAGGTGTTTTGGCTTTCTCCTCAGGAGGCAGAGCGCTCCGCCTGACGCACACGCGCGTGGCGGATGAAGGTCGGTACACCTGCGTGGTCACCAATGCTGCAGGAGAAGTGAGGAAGGATTTTGACCTTTCTGTTCTAGGTAAGTTCAGGGTAATTTTGTAGAAAAAGATAAGGGGTCTGCTGTATACTTTGCTGGTATTGTAAAAGTTTTGTGCCAAAACATATGTCCTTGGAGGGGGAAAATACCTTTGGTAAGGTGGTCAGAAAAACAGTTTTCAAAGAGAAGTGAGTTTTCTGTTTTAAGTTTTTTAATTAATGTGGCATAATTTGTAGTAACTGACAGCTCCTTCTGTTTTGTGGTTTGTTTCTCTTCTGAAAAGGAATGATGTCAGTGAAATTGGCTTCAGTGAGGTGGCTATTTCAGTTGGGTAGGAGTCTGGGGGATACTGACAGCTGGCCTTCCATCTTCTCTTCTGTTTCTTGGTGCTCAGAGCTCCAGTCTCCCTTGGGCCTGATGAACAGGCTGAGTCAGTTGATGGGTGTTTTTTTTGTTTTCCTGGCCAAGTTTGTTTTCAGCCAGATCCATTCCCTGCTGCTTCACCACACAGGCCATAAACACTGGTACTGGTGAAGGGGAGATGACACGAGCGTGTGGTCAGGGAAATAGTGTTATATCTTTTCACCCTGGCATGAATTTAAACTGGTTCAAGTGAAAAGAAATCTACAGCCCCAGGAAATTATAAGAAAGTCATGTGAACTCTTGCACCTAATGCTCACATGCAGAGAGATGAACCCCATGTGATGATACTGTCTATTAAGACCAGCCTTGCTGTGCAGCACTGCCTGTACTGTGTACAACTGAGTGGCATGGTGGTAATAATCTGTTGCAACAGAGATGTGTAGGCAAAGGCAAGACCAGCAGGAAAATTAAACACTGGAGCTAGAATTGTTTTAGCAAAATAGAGATCTCTGATCCAGTGGAAACCTTCAGTCAGCGGAGGTTTTGGTCTTGTGAAGGGTAATGGGTGATCCTGCTAATCTATTTAGAGAGGGATTGGTACAGAAAGCTCTTCAGATGGCTGTTTGTGAATGTGTGATTTTGTCACTTATTTTTAAAATATAGTATTTTTGCAGAATATTCTGCTTTGAGGTTTAGAAACTATTTGTTGTTTTTTACCAATAATTACCAGGCCTGTGTATCATTTTCCTGTAGGTTGCTTTTCTCTAAGGTGCTGAGCTTTCTAAGGTGCTGAGCTCTCTCAGCTTCCCTTGCCTTCAGCTGCCCTACACATATTCCTCCTGCAAAGGATAACTCACAGTCATGTCAGTTCATGTTTATTTGATGAGCTCATGGAAGTGTAAGTCTGGTAGAATGGAAGAGGAGGATAAACACTGAAAAGCATTCATTGTTTTACTGTTTTCTTTGGAAGATTTTAGTAGCAGGGTGTTCATGAGGGTTCTGGAAACATCTTTTGCATAGGCTTTGTTTGCCTTGAAGAAAAATTGCTCAGTGAAGCTGATTTCAAGTGGAAAATTCCATTGTTCAATCTTCTCTTCCCTCCCCCCAGTAATTTCTTTGTCTTTCTAGAGGAAAGTTACTGGAATGTGGCCTGATATTAACACAGAATATTCACCAGCTCACTGTAAATAAGAACTGTACAGAGACTGTACAGTCTTTCTCTGAGTTGGTGTAGGAGGTTCCAGAGGAGCCAGATTGCATGGAGAGCTTGGTGTAATAAACATAATATTTATATATTTGCAAAATGTTTGGTGTGGCTTTGTCATATCTCTGAAATTAATATGTGTTGACATCTTACTGTATTACTTTAGGGCCAAAGCAATGAGTTGCTCTGGTTATTTATGAATACTAACTTTTGGCTTGACTGAAAAGTCCTAAAGTTTATGATTTTTCGGTTATATTTTCCCCCATCTAATTCCTTCACTAGTTGATGTGAGAAAGATCTTGTTGCATTTGGACACTAGAACCCATACAGATGTCTGGTTTGCATTGTATGTACAGTCACAGCAGGGAATTTGATCATAACTGCATCACAAGTTGGTGAGAGTGCCAGGATTGGCCACATCTTCCCACATGCGAAATTCTACTAACCCGCATCTCACCACGTCTCCTGTCCAGAGGCCAACTTCAGCCACTTTTTTGCCATTCCAGTCAAGTGAAATGCAAGCGTCTTTCCATTTTATTTTTTTTCTCACTTTAGTTTATACCTTCATTAATTTAAAATATCTGGTGTGACATTATTTTTCTCTGCTGACAATGAATTCTGCATATTACTGTGATTCTTATTTTTAGGAGACTTTTGCTTCCAACTTAGCGGTAGATCACAAATAATCTGCTCAGTATCTTTTAATTCCTCTCTCTTTAGGCCTTCAATCTGGGCTGTAAATTTGCTTTTTGTAGGATTATTAAAGCTTAGTACCTGGCTCCCTAATCTGACATTTTTGTTACAACTTCCAAAATCCCTTGGACATTGGGCTTGCTTCCCAATGGCCATAGGTCTCCTTTTCAGCCCATTACTCTCCACGCCTACTTAGATTTGTAGTGTCGTTTTCTTTTGGCCTGAATCCACCAATGTCTCTGCTTTGAAAGAAGCAGCTGATTTGTCACCACAGCTACTCACCAACACGTTCAGAATCTGCCTTCCCTCATGCAGTAGCACCTGGGTCTGTGTCGCCCTGGTGACCAAGATGGTTTGGAAACAAGTCATGAAGTGGTCAGTACAGTAAGAGTTCCCTTGTTAGCTATTTGGGAGGTGGATAGGGGTTTTAAGGGTATAGTTTTTTCTTCTGCTTCCCTAGAGGAACGTAGTTTGTACCACAATAAGGTGCCTGTAGACCTATTCAGTTTGTTCATCTGCCTCAATGGAATTAGCTGTATTTGCAAAAAACACAGTTAAGCCTCTACACAGCATCTGTTTGTTTCTCATCTCTTGCATTGCTTTGAGCATGCCAATAAGGAAGAAAAACCAACACACATGGTGTGTGACTAGACAAGCTGAGTTATTTTTTTAAACAAATTGGTTCTTTTCCTAGGGTTCTAGATAGATGCTTTCAATTAGTGTTGGAAAAGAAACAACTCTTAAACTTAAGCACATAGTTTTGAACAAATAAATCACTTGCTGCTTAATACATGATGACAGAACTTGCTTCCAAACTTAAAAAACCTGTTGGTGCATAAAATCAAAACTGGCCCCACTAACAGTGGCTCATCACCATTGCCATGCTAAGGGGACTCAGAAATCTTGCCCTACAGACCATGCTCCTCAGCACCCCGACTATCTCTCTAGCTCTTAAGACTAAACGAAGTGAGAACTTTGTGAGTCTGTGGTCCTCTCCTGCCCTTGGCATGGACTTGTGTGGTGGAGGGGTGCAGAAGAGTGTGTGTGTCTGTTGTCCAGGCAGGTTAGCTCTGCACCCTTTCACATCTGGACCCGTTTCTGGTAGACCTGAGCTGTTTGTTGATTGATGTGATTTAGGGCTGAGTTGAGTTTAACTTGGTTGTAAATAGGACTTACTGATGATGTCTCCTTGTCTGTTTGCAGTGCCTCCAGGGATTGTGGGTGAAAATAAACTGGAAGATGTGAAAGTGAAAGAGAAGCACCGGGTTACCTTAACATGTGAAATGACAGGTAAAAGTAATACAGTACTACTTACATTTACTGATCAAACCCACAGTGTAGCTCGTCATTGGTTCTGAGCAGCATGTTTTTAATGGAATTTTCAGTTTGGGGGAGTTTTTAAATAACCAGGGTGCTAGCATCAAGACTACAGCACTCCTCTTTATAAAGGCTGTGTAAAATGTAGCCAAGAGAGTAGCTGCTGGGATATTTCTTCTCTAAAGACCTTTGGAGTTTAAGAGGAGTTGTATATTATTTCAGGAGGCCTCAAAGACTTTAGAATGCACATTCCAAAACATGTCCCTCAAGGATATATTCTAAAAGTGCATCTGACACTGTATCCTTCAGTTTTTTTGAAACCTTGGCATATCCTGGAGGCTGTGCAACAACTAATATTTACAATTTTCTTCATTAAGGGAACCCTGTACCTCAGATCTCCTGGATGAAGGATGGCCAAGCTCTGGCTGAGGATGGAGATCACAAGTTTCTCTCCAGTGGGCGTTTCCTGCAAATCACCAACGCTCAAGTCACTGACACAGGGAGATACACGTGTATTGCATCCAATACAGCTGGAGATAAAAGCAAAAGTTACAGTCTTAATGTGCTTGGTAAGACAGCTGGGCTGGCTCTTGCAGAGAAGATATTAATCCCAGGAAAAAACAGATAATCAGATTGGAATTTCTTAGTACTTTAATTACAGCAGTGCTTAACTTGCCTGACTGCGGTAAAAATTCCAGAGCTTAGTAATTGATAAATAATAGTAGTTCAATAGAAACAGCAGTTCTGTGATGTAGACAATACAGAGCTAGAAAATGTGGAGCTTTATTAGGACATTTTATGGAATTAGCTAGACAATGCATTGGCTTATTGTGATTCAAGGAAGGAGCATCTAAAGTGTTGTTCAGATTGTGATCTTTTCATAAGAGCTGAAAACATCTGCAGTTGGCTTTTTTCGGGGTGGTTCTTGCATAACCCAATGCAAACAATGGCCGGTTTGTTTTCCACATCCTCATTTCCTAGGTTCATGCCTCCTAATGCCCTGCTGCTCCCAGGATCAGTGGGTAGTGGGGCTGCCAGTGCTATGCCAGAAGGGAC